TTGGTTCTGAAGACCCTGGAGCACCGATGATTTTGTTACCGGGCACTTTATTGTTGTCCTTGCCGTTGTTGTTGCTGTTTTCGTTGTTGTTGTTGTTATAGTTTTTTGTTTTTTTTAATCCATTTGTGGTCTCACAAGTAGCACGGGAAGTACGGTCACCCATGGCAGACCCCGGCATACCATGGGAAGACTAATTTAAACTGGAGTGCGCTTGGTATCGACTAAGCTCTCCCTTAGCCATGCAATCATCGGGAGAGAACAAAAGATGGCAATCATAGGACTTGATGAGAAGAATGCTCAAAAGCTATGTACAATATCAAAAATCAAAATGAATGAATCAATTGTAGAATAGGACAAAAAATGGAGGTTGTGCGGTGCTACAGCTGCTTTTTGGAACATATTAAAGTTTTGGACATATTAAGAGGAACTGTAAGACACCAGATGGAAGAGATTTTTGCTACAAATGCGGGTGGGCGGGCCACACAGTGGAGTACGTAGAAGAGTATGCAGTAGCGGAGACAAATGGAGAGGTAATACTCGTTCGTGATTTTAACGCAAAGTCAGTTGTTTGGGGAATGCCACACACGGATGCGAAAGCCACGCAGATTTTAAAGATGGCATCTCCACAGAGCGTAACAGTGATGAATACGAGGAATACATCAACTTTTTGCCGACCAGGCTACACCGAGACCATACTTGATATGACATTGGCGACAAATATTCTAGCAAGCAAAATTGAAGGCTCTGTGGTACTTGATCAATATATTATTTACAAATTATGCGTGAGAGCAGATGTACAACTTAGAGATGCGGGTCAGACCCCTAAATGGAATATAAGTAAATTGGACACCAACAAAATTATTGAAATGCTACAGGACGATTACAATCAGGGAATACATATTTTGGAGAATTTAAGTGAATTAACACATATTTTGGAGAATATTATCAAAAATGCCTGCGAAAAATTAATGCTACGGAAAACACGTGGCGGAAGGAAACGTTCGGTATACTAGTAGACAGAAGAAATCGCAGAATTAAGGAGAAAATATTTACATATGTGACAAGTGGCTCAACGAAGAAGAAATACAGGCAGGGAAGACTATCGGGATTGCGATTAGAAAAAGCAAGAGTGAAAGCTGGAAGGCACTGTGTAATGATGTTAACCAAGACTCATGGGGGCTTAGATATAAGACTTTTCTGAAAAAATTCAAGACTACAATGGTTGGGGATCACGAAGAAAAACCATCATTCACAATGGACAAATAGAAATCAGCAGCGAAAACAATAAAAAACAAGAAGGCTCTGGGTTTGGACGGAATTCTAGAAGAAGTAATAAAAATAGTTGTTAATGTATGTCCACAAATGATGTTGAATATGTATAACACCCGTCTGGAGTATAGAATTTTCAACAGCGCATGGAAGAAAGCGCGGTAATCATCGAGAAGGGAAAGGGCGACAGTTTTCGGCATCGTCTTATAGACCATTGTGCGTGCTGGATACGGCAGGTAAACTTTTGGAGAAATTAATTAAAGGTAGACTGCAAACAGCAATAGAAGCATCAGAAGCATAAACGTAATTTGAATTTAGGCAAAGAAGATCAACAGTGAATGAAATTAGAATGGTTACAGAAGTGTTAAGAGCAGCTTAGTCTGGAAATCATCATTCAAGAGGAATGATATTGCTCGTGTCGTTAGACGTTAGAAATACATTCAATTCGGTAGAAAGATGCGATAGAGGCACGAAGAGAAAGTTTTAACATTCCGCGTATCTCCTAAGGATAATAGATGATTATTTGAACGATAGATGGTTGCTGTACAACAGAAAGGATGGAAAAAGAAAGAAGCAAATAACAGCTATGAAGGATAGAGGGTTAAAGTGCAACACAAATGATGGAAACAGAATGAAGAAAATAACAGCAGGAGCAGCGCGAGGATCGGTTTTGCGGCCTGACATATGGAATTTATTGTACGACAGCATATTTCGAATAGAGATGCCAAAATGCACTGTTCTTGTAGAGTATGCAGATGACATAGCGGCAGTTATTACAACGTAAAACATGGAGGAAGTACGAATTAAACTTAACCAGCTATTGTGAAGACTCAACACGTGGGTTGAAGACCACGGTTTAGAGCTAGCAAAAGCCAAGACAGAAATCGTTATTTTAACAAAGTAAAGGTTTCGTACAATTGTAAAGATGCGAATAGATACAAAGAATTCAAACAAAGGCAGCAGCAAAATATCTAGGAGTTACATTGGATAATGAACTTAATTATTGGAGGGACATCAGTCAGGTGGCAGACAAGGCAGAAATCCTTACCAACAAGCTAAGAAGGCTTATGACGAACATCGAAGAACCAAAACCGAAAAAGAGGAAAATTATTTTGAGTTCAAAAAAGTCAACACTATTGTATGGCGCGCAGATAGTAAATTACTACATAACGCAGTTTTTGCCAGATCCTTTCAGGCGTAGTAAGCTATTGGCCCAAATAGGAGGAGCAAACAGGCAACATAACAGGAAAGAGTGGAAATAAAGAGAAAGAGGCAGACCTATTAAATTTTGAAGTGAACGGTGGACAAGCTCATTGGCACGCAGAGCATCATTGGGATGATCTTAAAAGTAGCCACTGTACAAAAAACGTGGGTATGAATATCACGAATCGACTCGGGTTTTGTTAGGAGCTTACCGGATACGCTGATCACGACGGCCGTGATAAAGGGCTTGACTTAAACTGTTTCCTTAGGAATAAGGAACCTCGATTGTCTTATAACGGGAAGAGACGTAAGGGCTGCACTGAAGGTCGCCATAGGGGCAGCAAGAGGTCTGGCAGACTTGCAATACGGCTTCAGGAAAAGGAAGGTTAACGATGGATGCAACAAAAGTGGTGCCGGATGCAGTCAAGACCGACGAATCGGAAGATCATCATTCAAGGAAAGTGGTGCTATTGGTTACGTTAGACGTGAAGAATACTTTTAACTTTGCAAAATGAAAGAAGATTTTAAAACAGTTACGTGGTAGATTTCGAGTTCGGTTGTATTATTGGCGAATTCTGGAGGATTATCTTAAGAACCGCAGCCTGGAGTACTCGATCGATGCTGGTATAAAATATAAGAAGACAAGTAAAAAAAGAATCGCGCAGACGAAAAATGTAAGAAGACCCAAAAAAGAATCGCGCAGGATCATTATGTATGACAGCTTACTACAGTCGCAGATACTCATGACACGCATAACAGAAGAGGGCGAAATTAGGCTCCAATAGACAATGAGGATAGTAAACATATGGATGGGGCAACACGGCTTGGAGTTAGCTACTGCCAAAAAGGAGATAGTCATGATAACTAATGGTTGGATGCGAACTATAGCGTCGATACAGGTCGGGTTGGATTCTGAGGAGACAAAGTCGGCAGCTAAATATTCATAAGTCACACTACATGCAAAATTTAACTCTTGGCAATATGTTCAAAGCGTTTTAGAGATAAAAGTGAAGACTATCAGTTAACTCAACATGCTGATTACAAATCAAGAAGGAAAAAATTATTTTGAGTTTAACAAAGTTAATACTATTGTATGGGGCTCCACATAAAAGGAGACTTTTCATGTCAGCAGGGCATGTCTGTGTTATTATATGGAGCGGAGTTTTTCGTAATGCGGGCGTGATTCCGATAGATTTACTGGCATTTGAGAGGAAGAATATATACCTGTAAAATCGTGAAATTGGAAAAGAACAAGAGGCTGTAGAGGAAGAGACGTCGAGAGGTAAAAGCAGAACGCTGAAGAAGCGATGTACAAGGTAGATGGACAGCAAGGCTTATAACTATATACATGGTTTTCGAGTCTGATATAATAGCTGTAGAAAAGAGGTTTTTAGATGACTGCGTAGGTGAGATAACACCGGACACTTCGTTGAGAAGATGATCGACAGTGAAGACAAGTGGAATGCAATAGCAAAAATTCCAGTGATGCAACTAAGGAGGGGAAGGGAGCTACACTACGTAGATAGCGCAGAAGGGAATGAAAACTAATTTGAACATCGACATTAAAGCATCAGCATGAGGACCACAATATATAAATTGAGGAACTCAAGGAAAAGCATGACCTAACATGAAGTATCGAATATTGTAATTATCGTTATTATTCATTTTAATATTGTTATTTTTATTGATATTACTATTGTCGTTATTGTTGTTTTTTTTTATAAATACTTTTTTTTTTTTATTTTTACCACTAATAATCAGATAACCAAATAATGAAGCCTGATATGTGCATACTAGTGAAATTCTTAGGGATTTGGGTGTCCCCGAACTTAGTGAAGAAATAAGGAACTGCGCCATAGGGTGCGTTTGGAACAGCATATAAATATTAAGGCTTTTCAACTTATATGAGAGAGGGTTAAGACAAAAACACTAAAATGAACGAGACCTATCGATTTAGTCCAATGATGAAACGTAGATACAAAAACACGGTAGATCAAAATTAATGGTTAGTCAGTTTCACTAGCTTAAGGAGCTTATAATCATCCAGGTGCTTTATAGGTTGAATTGAATTAATATTTCGCCACTATTAATAGGTCTGTCGACAGTTTGGGTCTTTCTTTGTCTTCCGATGATTTATGGTTTTTAAAACGTTTATTAAAAAAAAAAAAAATTATCAGTATAATATTATATTATTTGGAGTATAATATTAAAGATGTAAGGGTGTATGTTCTGGTCAAAACGTGATGTGTGATAAAGTAATTCTGAAACGATAATTTAAAATAATTAGGCGTGTTTCGGTTTCATATGAAATTAATTTTAAAAAATTAGTGGAAATGATTAATTTCCATTATCTGATAAATATCAGTTGAAATAAATTTACATATATATGCAATTTTTCTATATTTAAAAGCCAAAGAGTTTAGAAAATCTCTTTAAATTAATAATATATTACTAATATTAATTAATTAACTAAAAAATTGCAATGAAATCTCAAGCTATTCAAAATGCAGCAATAAACATAAATTTACCTGAAATTTAAATCTGTTTCTATATTTTTCATTAATGGATAATTAACTTTTGCAATTGTATTAATATGCCGTGTGCTCACATCTTCAAATGTTGTGAAAGCATCTGGAAATTCAATGACTACACCACATAAAATTTTGATATTTTCCAAATTTTTTCGTTTTGCTGCAAAAACTCCAACTTTTTTTAAAGATTCAATAAAACTATCAGAATTTGTAATATTCGCTGATAACATTTGAATTTTTAATGGTTTAAAAGAAGAAATACGATATATATCAAACAGCATCCATTTAAAAAATTTCAATTTATTAAATACTCCATTTTCCTTTAGTGGACTTTCTTTAACAACGTTGGTATAATTTTCATATTCGGTGTAAGTAATATATCTGCTTATTCTTTTATTTTGATTTAAATTTTTGCTATAATTAAGTGATAACGGTTTAATATAAAATGGTACCCACGATACAGTTGGCACAATATTTGGTATTAAAATTTTAACATCTGAGTCGGGCATTACAAATATTTCTTTAAACATTAAATCTATTATATGTAAATCATTAATGTTTGTAATAGTTAACAACCAAAAATTATTGCTTGTAAAAAAATTATTTTTGTCTGCAATCTTAAAAATCTCTCGGGAACTTTCTATTGAGCAGTCGTCAATTGTACGCATTACAATTCCATTTTTATATGCACGATCTAATTTAAAATCTGCAGGGTATCTTTTATTGAATTGAAAAATATTAAGATAAAATCCAGCTTCAATAAAATTTCGCATTGATTTGAAATTTGAGTTGATTTTATAATTGTTATTATTACTTTTGTTATAAATATTTTTTGCTGAAGCAAATGATGTATCCTTGAATAATTCTAGGAAATAATATATATAAATTTATATGCATATGAAAAAAATATAAAATGATTAATTTTCTCTTTTCATAAAAATTTGTATGTCGTTCTCATATACAGACATAATATGTATGTATATATACTTAAATGAAAAAGGACGCAAATCAATCAAACAAATTGGTTTAAAAAGAGGCATATTTTATTTCGATGATTTGACTGAAAAACTGAATTGGGAAATGTTTGAGGACAGAAATGTTAAAGTGGAAGATCATTTATTGCAAGCGTTATACATTATATTTATAATTAAAACTTGTATTGCATTATAGTAGTAACTCTGCCTGTTGTGAAGTTAACTGGGTCCTAGGTGGCAAGACGTGATGAACATTCGTGCCAATTTAAAAAAAAAATTAAAAAATCATTTTTTTGTACTAATAAAATCGAGTTGAAAGTTCGACGTTATTTCTACAGTTTTAGAAAAAATGATAAAAACTTTCCACGTGCTATAGAAAATTTGAGACGTACCAATCTTGACATACATGCCATGAATTGCCATCCCGAAATTAACACTTTATATTTTTTTAAGAAATTGTAAATTAAGTTTTGTAAATTTATTCTATTATTTTTTTAACAAAAGGAAGATGTAAGAAGTCGAAAATTGAAGTAGAAAAATGTATTTTAAACAAAACGAAATATTTTATTATATCTATAATCTAGGAAATCTGTTTTATCAATCTATAATTTATTATTTTTTCAGAAAACTTTGAACTTTCTGCTTTTGCGGAATTCAAAAATTTTGTTTAGTTTTAGTACAACAAGTAGCGAAAACTATAATTTCAGAAAAAGGAAGGTAAAAGAAGAAATTATTCTGAAGAAGTAATTTTCTAAGTAAGATCTATTCATTTGGAATTTCCATTTTTTACCTCGAAGATATGTGTGACGACTAAAAAGAAACTGCTGCCGGAAAATTTTTAAAAAAAATTATCAAAATGTGCTTAATATTTAAAATTGGTGCGAATATGAAAAAAGGTATAATTTATACCGTATAAGTATATAAAGAATTTTTGATTGATAGAACGTTACTAAAAATTTTTATGATGGGTGATAGACAAATTGTGATACCATGCTAAGTTGTAGTTTTAAAATGGAATGCTGCAACATTTGTTATGCTCCCTGTAAGACAAAAAGACAAACATTTAATATTAAAATTAATCGGTTAATTTTCCTTTTATATGACATAGGATTCCTATAGGTAATATAGTACTCCATTCACAAACTATTCTCAACTACTTCGAAACGGTGTGAAAATATTTACAATATTTGTTTTAATTAGTTCCATTAAACCTATAAGATTTAAATTTATTAATGTAAATCCTAATGAAATCAATAAATTAATTATTTTCATCTTGAGCTTAAATCAAGTGAACAAGGAACATTTAACAAATTACGTGTTAGAATACTATAAATTAATAAATTATTAAAGTTAATTATTGGTAGTTATTTTTCAGACATTTTTGTTATTCAAAATTAATTTTTCAATTTTCAAAATGAATAGCAATATTAATAACGTAAAATACTGCGAATGTATGAAATATAATGGTTTTTGAAAAACACTATATACACTGTAATTGTATAACATTTTAAACGTATTGGATTGCTTTCGCTACCAATATTTTATAAATCCAACCTGTGTAGCTACAATGTGTTAACGTAAATTATGCATAAATAGCCTTATCAAATTGTAACTTAGAGTTTTCTAATAATTTAAAGTTTCAACGATTTAGACCAAGGGGTGATTATGGAACAAAATTTTCAGTTTTAGTTTGATTTAAGTTAAAATCCAGAGTAGATTTTCATCGAATTCAATTGAAGGTCCAACCTAATTGGCTCAAAGAGCCAATATTTCTTAGATCGGCTTTATAAATTAAAAAAAATTTCAGTGAAACGAATGAAGTTCCGATAAGTCTATATGTACAAAATTAAGATAAATATTTATAACTTACCACTTTTGCTATCACTATTACAATGTATTATAACAACATTTTTAACTCCTTTAAATAAAAAATATTTTAAAATTATGTTATTTAATGATTCCTCATTTATTTCTGAATCGATTTCGGTTGAAAAGGCTCCATGATGCATGAAAAAAATTATTATTGGAATGACAATGATTTTACGTCTTTTCATAAATTCCGACATTTTATCACTCTTTCTTATATTTTTAATCACCAAAACTTTATAAACAAATACTTCAAAAATTAAAGAAAAATATTAAAGAAAAAGTAAAAAAGTTTTAGGTTAACATATTGAGATCCTTCCACAATTGATGAAATAAGATTTTAAATACTTTCTATTATATTTGAATATAATATAATTTCTATTTTATTGTATTTGATATTTTATTATATTTGAACTTTAACCACTTTTTTACTCTTCTTTATATAAGATTTCTAATCCAAATTGATGAAATTCAATTTTTAACTTCTTTTTATAATGTCATAGTTTCCTTTATATATAAATCAAATTAAAATAATCAAAGAAATTATTTTTCAATTATGCCTGAATAATAGATGATCAACAAATGTAGTTCGAAATTGGCTAAGTAAAAAAACTGGTTTGAATATGTCTGTCCTAAAAAAGACTAAAAATATATGCGATTCGGTACATTTGCTTTTTAAAAGTTTAACAACCTGATTGCAACATTGATTTTGCAACATTGTTTGCAGAAATATCTTCCTCTTAGAGAGACTTAGAGTGGTAAAATTTCAACTCCAATTCACCGTTTGGCTCGTAATAATTTCATGTTTTAGTTTTCGTTCTGGTTCTTAATTTTTAATTTTGGTTCAGATTTTTATTTTCAATTTTTAATTTCAGTTTTGTTCAGGTTCGGGTCTGATCCCAAATCACTCCAAATGTAAATAAAATATAAATATAATTCAATTTCATTTAATCAATTCATTGAAACAACTAAGGCAAATATTACCAAACGTTTAGAAGTAAAATAAATAAAAAAATCAGCATTTCAAAAATATTGTTAATATATTAAAAATGATTAAAATATTTAGTTTCTTCAAAATGCATTTTATTCTGTTACTACTATATTTTATAACCGTATGCTGCCAATTATTTTATGCGGTTTGCTAGACTTGCTGATTATTTATTAATTATTTAGATTTCAAACTACAAATATCAAGATAATTCGATTACCATTTTTCAATTTGAAACTGGAACGAAAATAATCAAACAAAAGAATCGGTGAAATATAAATTGTTCCCGTTCTTTTTCAATTCTATAAAATAACTTGGTTCGGTTAACTGTTCTATTCGTTATCAATTAAGCTACGCTTCATATTTTTGCGTTTAAATATCCTTTATAGTTTAATATTAATTACTATTAAATGTATGTATCTTTGTACAAAACAACAATAACATCTGTGAGAACAGTACATGTACAAGCTTTTTTCAAATAATTTTATAAGTCAACCTGAGTTAGTTGATTAAAAATCTTTAACTTTTCTGTAGGTAAAAGTAGAAGAATTATTAAAAACTAAAATTTAATAAAATTCTGGTAAATTTTATAATGTTTTTGAACACCTTTCAAGAATAAATTTTAGTTTATTGACCTAGAAAGATCGATTTTAAAGGTCTATATGTCATGCAAAGAGTTTATATGTCTATTCTATTTGTCAAGAACAGTTGTCATGAAGGTCTTTTCGCACCAAAGTGTTTACTTTTAGCTTTTAACTTTTTAAAAGTGTCTTTAGCATTAGAGCCCATTAGCATTTGGTGCAACAGATATTTTCCAATTTTTTTAATTAATTGATTAAAAAAAAAGTAAAAATTGGTTAGTGCAATAGGGCCTAGTACAAGTAAAGTTGACTTACTCAATGCTTTTGTAATAATTATTCAATAAAAAAACTCTACCTGCTGTTGAATTTCTATCAGTAAAACTTCGAACTTCAAAGTAACCTAATAAATTGGATTAGATTTTCTTGATTTGCGCGAAGGGCCAAACAATAAAAAATAATTCGTTTTCTAATAAAACAAATTTTTTTCCTTTCTCTTTTGTTTAATTTTTTATTTCTTTATGTATTTTAAATTTTATACAAATTAAGTATAATTTGCGAACGTATAAATTTTGCAAAGTAAACTATACGTAAACTATACATGTCTAATATATCATAAGTTTAGAGTGGCCGCATATACATTATCTTCGTTTGTAAGAAAAAAAATTCAATTTACAACATTCTTCTGTCGCAACTGGGAGCCAAGAAATTTTGAAGTTAAACGTTTTTTTGTAAGTAGGCTATAGCTTTGCTAATATTAGACATAAACCGTTATGCTAAAATTCTTTGTAAAAGAGAAAAGTTAAGCACTTAAATATTCCAAAAACGCCATTTGAAGGCCATTTTCTTTAAAATAAATGCAATAAATTAGTTTCACCTCCCATGTTTCCAGAGTTATCAGAGGAAATTAAAAAATTAGACAGTCTTTAGGGAAAAACCTTAAAAGCCTCATCGTATTCCCCTAGAACAACATTGAAGGAGTGTGAAAAAATATCCCCCTTTATTTTTTGTTCACCTCAACTCCACCTACAAGCCCTGTATATACATACATATAATATACAAGTAATATGGGTATGGCAAATGGAGTAAAAACTTGTAATATAAATAACTATTCATAAAAGCAAATTTTTAATAATTTGAAAATTTATTTTTATTCTAGACGGCATTATTGTATGTTTTACTTATCTTACAAAAAATTTCTGTAATGTTCTAATATTGTTTGTATGCGTAATTTTTGTAAAAATGGAAAAAAAAATAATGGTTTATATACAAAAACATACTCCAATCATCATCAGAAAAATTGAAAGTAAT